CTTTTTCACTTGCGACTGGAAATACGCGTTCAATTTTTCATCATCTTTTTCCACTGTAAACCATCGTTGGGAAATGAAATAAGATGTTTTCATTGTTTGTAAATCACGAACAATGATGTATTTGAGAAACCAAGATGCAAAGGAATCTTGACCAGAATTAACGTTGAAAAATTTCTCTTTGAGGATCATCGAATGTTCGAATACGAGTTACTTCATTTTCACCATATAAAACAAAATGAACTTTGGATTTTGTTCCTGAATCTTTTCTATGACCAGTAAAAACGATCAATTGATAAAAATAACTATCCGATGATCGATTATCAGACAAAGGTGTTACACCCAATTTTTCAAAATCTTTTTTATCGCATTTCCGTGCATAGATCATCAAAATGATGTAGATGAGGGTAACAGTGATGATAGTTAAGTAAACTGTTTTATTTTTGTGAAAATTTGCATTGTTGAAAACATAATTCCAATCGGTCATCTCTGATAAAATGACAAATCCACTTGCGAATTTTGTTAAATGTGTAGAAAAACATTCTGTTTCATAATGATTGATCTTCGATCTAACAGTTAATCCATCAGATTTCCATCGATTTTGTTCATCAAGGTAATAATAATCTGATATATGAACTCTCGTTTGATAATCTGAAGTGAAATGAACTGGATCCGTCGGAATTGGAAGAGTTTCATTTGAACAGAATTCATTGGATTCGGATGAAGTCAGTTCGCGTAAACTAAATATTAATGTTTGATGACCAATTGTTTGCTGATTGTCGAGAAATAAAGGAGAATTGCGAATAGATGAACAAAATAATTTCCATCCATCGAGTTGATTCAATCGTGGAAATTGATCAAATTTATAAATAAATAAATGTGATAAATTAACATTGACTGATTCAAACTCGAGATGAACTGAAATTGGTAAAGAAGAGGTGATATTCACAAAATGATAATGAAATGTTTGATTGTGATGAGTCGAATTGAAGATCATCGTGGAAAGATTCGTCTTAGAGTTCTTGTCAAATACAGCTAATCGTTCGATCATTGATCTCACAAGACAAACAGGTGAAATGTTTTCAAGAGAAGATGTGACATTTGATGAAAGATGAATTTCTGCCCGTCCAACTTGTTCGATTGAAATCACTTCGAATGAAACAAATGTTTCTGGTGTATCGATAATCATCTTCTGTCCGATATTCAAATGAATGTTGAATGATGAAGTGACCGATGAGATGATCTCATCGACTTTCATCTTTGTTGAACGCTGAAAATCTGATTTCAAAAGATTTGATCTTGTNAATACTGAATAAGCATAAAGGTCAATATCGGCTTTCAATGATTCATCGACTAACTCTAATTTACTGACGGGATATGAACCATGATATTTGATCGTTTGAATTCCTTTGATACTGTGAGTTGGATGTGTACGAATCAATCGAGTATCACTCTCCTTTGTATCTAAATTTGTGATACGAAAAGCTAATAGAGCGTCATTGATAAACCCTAATTTTGCTCCTGTTGCGGGTGATTGATTTTCGATCGTCCATTCGTGAAATGTTCCGTCACCACGTAATTCAATTGAACCTGTGGTAATTCCGCCAATTGGTACTGCTGATCTCAAACCAGAGGGAGGATGTTCAAACGGAAACGTTCGATTCATTATTGCCGAAATGATATTTGGATTATGAACAGATTGCGGAGTGTACGATTTCAAATAACAGCATGGTCTACCTTGTCGACAATCGTTGAAATCGGACGGAGCAGCTGATGCATAGGGCCATGAAGTACATGATGCATAACGACAGCATAGGATGTTACATTCAGATGGATCAGCATAGCCGATGGTATGATCGAGAGAAAATCTGCACCTGGTAAATCAGTTTTGGTCAAGACTGGATTTGGATCGCATTGTAATGGTTGATCTGGATTTCGTTTATATAAATACGGTCGAGAGTATAATTCCATCCACGAGAATCGTTGTCTCGTAACATTTTCAGGTTCGGTGTAGTATGCATATTCATACTGATATTCATAGGCATCAGAATTGGATATCCAACCTTCATTGAAGAACTTCACTGAATTCAATAGTTCATAGAGTTTTTGACAATGAACTATTTGAAGAATAGAAATCGCGAAAAGTAAATACTTCATTCTCCAGCGTCGTTATCAATGTCGAATGTGGTTGTGTGTGAGAGAGGAAAGTCTTTCGTATCTTTCAACACCTTATCAGTGGCACCTTTCTCTCTGTTTCTTTTCTTTCAATAAATAGAACCTGCGGAATGCCATAATCGCATGTCTGTTTCTTTATTCTGGGCTATGTCGTTAACATCAATGAATAGAAATCAAACTCTAATACAACATTTTTAATGAGCAAAAAAATTGAACGAATGCCCTTTGATTTTTTTGCATTAAGATCAATCAGTTTTTCTCACTAAGTAGAGACGAATAGGTCGTAAATGAGTTATTTTAATATGATTAGCATCAATAGGTTGTTCATTGTCGTTTTGACCTTCCGATTTCAGATAAGATTGAATGAACTTCTGACGCAATGTATTGAACATTTCTTGATACTTTTGTTCGCCATTTTGCTTTCGATATGTTTGAGCAGGTGATGCGGTTTCCAATGTGCCAAGAAATTGTTCAAGTGTTGCTTCCGCTCGAAATTCAATTGTGTATTGTTCTAATGATGATTTATATGGAAAAATTGCTAAAAGTGGTTCATAATAAGCATTAATTATATATTGTCTCTCATTCTGATATGGTTGTAATGTAGTTTGATGAAATTCTTTGTAAACAATATCAGCGTCGGAATTATCTAATGAGCCGAATGTATAAGTCCAAACAGCTAATACACCTGTTTGTGGTTTTAGTACACGTTTGACTTCTTGGAAAAACTTTTCAACATCAAGCCAATGTAATGCTGTTGCAATCGTGATTAGGTCAACTGAATTTGATTCGAGAAAAGATAAATCTTCACCTGGACTGCATCGATATTCAACATTATCTTTTGATATGGCATGAGAAATCTGATCAGCACTAACGTCAGTGCCAATCACACGTTCACAGAATCTTCGAAAGAATAAGATCGTTTTTGAGGGTGTGGATGTGGAGGTGTCTTCTGTTCACTCACACTCACCCTTGTTGTTATAATGAACGATGTACTTCGTGTGAAGTTTGCAGTGATAGTTCACATCTTCTTGATTGTTTATCATCATGTTGTAGAGAATCATCAATGTACTGTGAAGGTCATCAGCGTAGAGAAGATTCTGCCGATTTAAACTATGAAGATGAAGATTATGAAAATAATCATTACTCTATTATCTATCCATCGAAGAATTTTGTTTATTGTGTATGAAAAGACTTCCGGATCATCGATGACTTTTTCTCGTGCGAGACGAAAATTACCATTGATGATTGATAAAAACATACTCAAGCAAATGAAAACAACGATCAGAGTAAATAACGTTAAAGCTGCACAGGATTGCAGTTTGGAAAGAAACAGAAGATAAAATAAACAAAGAAATGAAATAAAGATTATTGAAAACATGAGCGAAAATGAAATCAATTCCTTGGTGGATAAACGAAGTGTTTCAATGAATAAAGACAAACGACGATTATATTGACATAGATGAAGAAATTTAATTGTACCAAAGAAACAACAGAAGCCATAGAAATACGTGAGAAAAAGATCATTGAAATAAACAGATTCTTCGAAATTTAGAAAAATATCACCTTGACTTTCACGAAACAATTTTCCAATTTTAAATCGAAAAAAAAAATTCCAATTGATGAAATCGAACAAGTGATTAAACCGAGATCGATTATCGACCAAAATTCAATGAAATATTTCCATTTTAAGTTCATAATTAATTGAATTTCATTAAAATCATATAAAGCATCAAAAATAAATAAACAACTGTACAAATTAATTGAGAAAATGATGTAAAAGCTAAAAAGAAAAGATGAGATTTGTCTTTTTAAAAGGAAAATTACCATAAAAATGAATTGGGTCAAATCGAGATTGAAAATTAATATTTCCTGTTGAATCAAATTGTGTTTGAAGTGTGACAAAAGTAAATAAATTAATATTTGGATTATAAAGTGACATTTGTATTTGAATTTCACGTGTTTGTTGATCGATCGATTGGAATCGATGAAGTTCACAAAGATTTCCTCGAAGATCTTTCATTGAATCACGAAATTCATAAATATATCCACGATCTTTGGATTTGTATTGAAATGATTGAGAAATTGATGAAGAGAATAACAAGGTGGAATGTTCAAACCATCCAGGAGAAAAAAAACGTTTTTCTTCATTTGATAAACTCACATCATTTCGACAAATTTAATTCGTCTTGGACAAAGTTGTGTTCGAATTCGTGATTGTTTCATCAACGCCCAACCGAGAAGTCGATTTGAAGTATCATTGAGATATCCACGAAGATATTCCACATTCTTTCCATTGTACCATTTGTGTGCACGAATCTTTCCAACAAAATCTTCTTCTAACCATTCCCAATACTCATTCATTGATGAGATTTTCACTGAGAATGATTTTCGAAGATGTCGAACTTGAAACGAAGCGTTTTCATTATGATTTGAATAAACAATCACAGACAGAAGGGAAAGAAAAGAAATGTAAAAGATGATTTCTCGAGTAATTTTCCACATTCGAAGTTCACGAAGACGAATTTGTCGAGCACAAGCGATTTCATTTGGAGTTAATCGATTGGGACGAGTAGGTGGAGTAATTTCAATTTGATGAATGAAGATTTTCTTCATCTTTGCTCAACATAAATTGATTTTCATCGAAATATTCTTTTGCTTCTTCATCTTCATTTCTTGATTTGCGACAAAAAAATGCAAAAAAGATTCCCTAAGATAAAATCTATTCGAAAAAGAGATACTCAGTTGAGATCAAGTGAAAGAGGATCGTCACCTTAATTGGTTCGGTCAGAAGAATCGATGAGAAGAATGGCGAAAGAACTGAAACAAGCCACCGTTGACTTTTCACATCACCAAATTCAATTCCACGAGCAATGATAAAGAAAATCGAAATGATAACTAGTAGAAGAGAAATTCCATATGCAAAGAATAAACACCACCATGGAAATGTTAATGAACGTTTCTTCTTATTCTCTTCACAGGTTGGCTTTATTCGATGATGACGCGATCGAAGTCGACGAAACATTTGAATCAACAAAAGACTTGGAATTAATGAAATCAATTCACTCACTATCCCAATCAGAATCTGATCTGATGTGATGGAAAATGTTCCGAAGGAAAGACTCGTTGCTTTCTTGGCTTGGGTTTCATTTGAGAGATCATAATACATGATATTCGAAAGCATTGAAATGAACAGTAAAACAAAACAGCAAGTACATCGTTGAACACGGGAAAATTGTTTTGATGGCGGACGAGCAAAGATTGAAAACCATAAATGACCATCGGATAAACTATGAAATGTTTTCTTTGATAAAATATATGAAAACTCCCTCTTTTCTTTTTCACTTGCAACTGGAAATACGCGTTCGATTTTTCCATCATCTTTTTCCACTGCAAACCATCGTTGGGAAATAAAATAAGATGTTTTCATTGTTTGTAAATCACGAACAATGATGTATTTGAGAAACCAAGATGCAAAGGAATCTTGACCAGAATTATCGTGCCAAATATGAAGATAATTAAATAATCCCAATGATTTTGGAACTCCCATGATAAATGAATCAATTCCACTACGTTGAAAAATTTCTCTTTGTGGATCATCGAATGTTCGAATACGAGTTAATTCATTTTCACCATATAAAACAAAATGAACTTTGGATTTTGTTCCTGAATCTTTTCTATGACCAGTAAAAACGATCAATTGATAAAAATAATTATCGGATGATCGATTATCGGACAAAGGTGTTACACCCAATTTTTCAAAATCTTTTTTATCGTATTTCCGTGCATATATCATCAAAATGATGTAGACGATGGTAACGGTGATGACAGTCAAATAAATTGTTTTATTTTTGTGAAAATCTGCATTGTTGAAAACATAATTCCAATCGATCATTTCGGGTAAAATAACAAATCCACTTGCGAATTTTGTTAAATGTGTAGAAAAACATTCTGTTTCATAATGATTGGTCTTCGATCCAACAATTAATCCATCAGATTTCCATCGATTTTGTTCATCAAGATAATAACAACCTGATATATAAACTCTCGTTTGATAATCTGAAGTGAAATGAACTGGATCAATTGGAATTGGAAGAGTTTCATTCGAACAGAATTCTTTGGATTCTGTTGAAGTCAATTCTCGTACACCAAATATCAATGTTTGATAACCAATTGTTTGTTGATTATCAATAAATACAGAAGGATTTTTCTGAACAGATGAACAAAATAATTTCCATCCATCGAGTTGATTCAATCTTGGAAATTGATCAAATTTATAAATAAATAAATGTGATAAATTAACATTGACTGATTCAAATTCGAGATGAACTGAAATTGGTAAAGAAGAGGTGATATTCACAAAATGATAATGAAATGTTTGATTGTGATGAGTCGAATTGAATGATGAAACATTATGATAGATCATTGGTGGAATTATAATATTCGGATCTCGTGGAATTCTCACTCGAATTGGATTTTGTTTTGTTGTTTTAAATGGAATTTCATTTCCATTTCGATCGAGAATTGTCAGTGAGATCATCGTGGAAAGGTTCGTCTTAGAATTCTTGTCAAATACAGCTAATCGTTCCATCATTGATCTCACGAGACAAACAGGTGAAGTGTTTTCAAGAGAAGATTTGACATTTGATGAAAGATGAATTTCTGCTCGTCCAACTTGTTTGATTGATTTGTTTGAAAGAGAGTCGATTGAAATCACTTCGAATGAAACAAATGTTTCTGGTGTATCGATAATCATCTTCTGTCCGATATTCAAATGAATGTTGAATGATGAAGTGACCAATGAGATGATCTCATCGGCTCTCTTGCTGATTTGCCTCGCTAACTTTTCTTGATAAAATCGATTTCGATTTTCATTGATTTTCTCCATTGACAAATCATTTCCATCAACGAATAATTCTTTCAAACAATGAAGATTTGATTTGATCAGATAAAAACATTCTCAACTTACTCAAATTTGACCAATCAGAATCCAAATTTGTATCATAATCATCGGGAATCTTTGTTGAACGCTGAAAATCTGATTTCAAAAGATTTGATCTTTCTTGTAAAACTCCATTGACACCCTAAATCAATCAACTACCAAAGAAATCAAGAAAACAAGTCTGTTTACTGTTAACATGTTGGCAGCACATTGAAGAAGTTGTTGACCTACCATTTGAACATCTTCGTAGGGAATTTTGATTAATAAAGAATGAAGATCTTTTGCTAATTGATGACATTTCTGTGATACGATCGTCTATTTCAAAGAAAAACCAATGAGAAAACCAATGTGAAACTGTGATGAGATTTACAAGAGTTTGTCTTGTTAATTGATTTGTTGTTTCAGTGAGTTGAATCAATGTTGATAATTGCATTTTCATATTTTCAATGGATAAGGTGAGATCAGTGATGAATTCACTCAAATATTCTCGAAGTTCTGCTTGAGACTGAAGTTGTTCGTTGACTTCTTTCATTGTTGATTCATTTATCGACGATACAAAGTTCTACAAATGAACAATGAACAAAGATGAAAGATTAAATAGAAGAATTTCACCTCCGACACAAGTCGTTGTTGACCTAACGATGAAACAAAGATTCGTGTTGGTTGAATTCCATCTTATAAACAAAAGAACGACTTTTCGAAAACGAATTCTTCTTCCTCTCATCATTTACCTTGAATCGATTTGCGAAGAGTTTCATCGGTCATTCCATTTAGCTGTTGAGATAATGAAGAAATGATTTGTGCAATGAAATTTTGATCTTTGGTATGAAGTATTTGTAGAACTGATTGATTGTTTTCATAAAATAAAGATAAATCTGAGAAGATTTCAATAGTTGTTAAATTCAGTTTTGTAGTTTGATAATTGAGATCGCGAATTTGAAGAACGAGATTGAGTTTTCCACTTGGTAATTGAACTGTAAAATTCGAAACAGGTGAAAATGCGATGATTGTCAACTTCATCGAATCATTTAACCAATCTAAACCAAAATCAGAAAAGACTTCATACGAATAAGAATGAACGTGTTCTACGAACAATATAATGAATATTCTTGAATAAAATTCAGTTTCGATGGATGATAACATGTGATATGAAAACGCGTCGTTGTTGTTCCATTTGTTGGAAATATTGAACATGTTGGATTGACAAATTCCATTTGAATTTCAAAATCCAATGCACTTGAACCAATTTGACTTCGAAAGGTATAAGTTACTTCGAAACGCCAATATTTTACATGACGATATGTCGAAAACAGATGATTTGTTATCGTTACATTAGTTGTGTTTGCTCCAAAAATGTAAATTTTAGCGTATAAATCCGATTCCTCGAATGAAGACCATTGAATTGTACTCGAAGGCGAATTCATTGATTTATAGAAAATATTCCATTTGATATTCTCAATTGGTTGGCAATTTGATTCACATCGGGAAAATAATGCCAATTGCATTGTTGGATTGATCAGTCGATATCCAAGATTTAATGGACAAAGTGTTGGAACAACGCATCTATACCAAAGACTGAATAGAACACGGAAAGAGATGCCTAGATGAATTTACCCGATGCTAATCATTGGTCTTTGTGAGTCTTTGATTTGAACAAGAACAGAGCCGAATGCGTGAATTGTTCGATTTCTTCGATTAGTCAGCCGAACACTAAATGTATATGTTTCATCTAATTCCAATGATCCAGCAAAGATTGTGACTGAAGTTTCTTTTGGGAGTTCGACTCCATCGAATTCGTATTGGAATTGATTTGACAAACATGACAGTTCTGATGGATTATTTATTGAATATCTGTCCACGATGTCGTAGGTATTATAAGCTCGACAATCGTATAGATATGTCCAATCCTGAAATAAAAGGTAGAAAGGAGATTGAAAGGAGGAGAAGAAGTTTACTGTGGAGTTGAATGGATAACCATCAGGATCATTGGAATATTTTCCAGGATTTAAATGAAGATCTTGTTCATAACCAGATGTGATCATCGATGTTCCCAATGGAACAAGATTTGCTGTGATTCCTGTGGAAATCACTTGAATATAAACTGATTTTGATGATTGAATTGCTGAATCGACAATCATTTGGATTTGAAGAGTAAATCGATAAATTCCATAGGGAAGTGTTGTCGAAGGAATGTGCAAATCATATGCAGTTGAGTCAATTGAATCGAACAAAAGTTCATTTGTATTACATTCCGTTGTACAATTTTGGATTTTCCATTGGGATTTGACTTGAAATGATTTTGAACAATTTAATTTGACTTTGGATAGAATATAAAAATTCTGATTTCGACGAATTTGAATCGGTGATAAATATGTTGAAGTAGGTATTAAACGAATATGTGGAGTTTCACATTCGTTTTTTGAAGGATTTGTTGTTGATAATACTTTTTTTTGTAGAAAACAATCCAATAAAAATAATTTTTAAATGAAAATTTTGAACTAACCTTGATGTGAAGTAATTTCACCTATAGAACGGAGAAAAATCAGTTAGTAAAAATAGTTTTAAAGAAAAAAAAAAACTTGTACTTTGTTGGTCGATTGTTGTTACTTCATCTAAATAAGAAATTAAAATCAAACATTCTAAAATAATTTTATGCATTTTTTTATAGAACTTTGGTTTGTTGGATTTGTTGTAGAAATTATCGATGTTTCGTCTATTTCAAAAAGAAACAACGAGAGAATTTATCTTCTAATCATTTTCCGTTTTTAATTACTTTGACATGAATCTTTTTCGAAAAGAAATTTTTGTATTCGACTATTGTACTCATCAGCAACGAAAATATTTCCATCAATATCAAAACTCAAACTGTACGGATATGATAATTGATCAGATTGTGAACCCCGTTCATCACATCCAATTATACATTGAAAACCAACTTGATTTGAACCAATTATACGACTTTTCTGTTGATCCGAAATAAAAAGATATTTATCATTATCCAAAACAATAGAAATTGGACGATTGAGTTCAAGTGTATAAGTAGCAGATCCTCGTCCAGCTTTTGTTATTCCATTCGAATTGCCAAATTCAAATAATTGAATACGATTATTGGCATAATCAGCTACGTACAGATTGAAACTTGTATCAACAAAAATTCCATGAGGCTCAGAAAGTTCATTTGATGCCGAACCTGAACTACTAGTTCCAGCAACGACTATTGGTGTGAGTAATTCCTGATTCAACGATTTCTTGACTATTTTATGATTTTCTGTCATTGAACAATATAAATTCTCCATTTGATCAACAAAAAGTCCTGTACATTTTGATTCGACATCCATTACTGTGATAAAAGTATTATTCTTAGAAATCCATTGATCAACTCGTTTATTGGCAAAACCATTATCGATAATGATATCACCCAAAGTTGTCACAAACATCGATGTTGGATATGAAAAACTTCCTGAAATCGTTTTTGTTGGATATGTACTTTGATTAAACCAAATTAAAATTTCGTTTTTATCTTGATCAACAACATAGATTGTATTATTTGTATCGATAAATAACAAAAGAGGATTTTGCCCAACAATACTTTGATTAGCGAAAGTGATTCCATGTCCATTCCAAACAGCACCCAAACAAAATTTTGGTTGATTAAACGAAAGAGCTGAAATTGAATGGAGAAATCTGTAAAATGACTGTGAAAGTTGAAGGTAAGAAATCTCGGAAGAAACTTTGAGTCTGATTCATTGATTAGAAAAGGAATGTTTAAACTAAATCATTGTAAAATCCTGTTAAGTTCTCCAAATTCTGTGAAAAAGTCATTGATAATCGAATATCAAAGACGAAAGAATAATTTCTGAAAGAAATAAAGTAATTATCACCAGTCTCTTTTGGATTTACTTTTCAATAAAATGTAATTCTAAAAGAATGATATCGGACGGATGAGTTTCGAACTTTTCTTCCGAAGACTTGTGAATGAACTCCTCCAAGATCAACTGTAATTTCACTTTTCTTCGCCATCAAAGATATTTGCAAAAAATCTTTCTTTACCTATTGTCTCTTCGTTATGTCGGATTTGTTTCAAGTCTGTTTGATACCATAAATCCGACTCATCTCGTTGACAGAACTTAAAACTCGACTATAGAAAAAGTGTATCTTAACGAGAACAGTACCCATTGATCATTGTCATGTGTCTTTGACTAAATTATCGATGTTTTCAAACTTTATGTAGTTTGACATGGAAATGTCATCGATTTAGATAAAAATATTGTCAAATGTTGATTTTGATTTACCTTGTGAAATTCGTGGAAAAGCTGTTTGATCTAAATGAATGAAAAAAATCCAATTGAGAATTTCATCTGATTTCCTTTTCAAAATTTTCTCTTGAAATCAAACAAACTCAAACTTCATTTTTCTTTACAGAAAACTGGAAGAGTACAATATCGCGATTCTAATCTGCCTGTTATTACATGAAAACGAGGTTTTCATTTAAAGAAATCGCTGTGCAACTTTTAGCGAAAAAGAACCTTGTTCGCTTATTTGGAGATTTCAAGGACAGACTGATGACCTGTTTACCTGAATTTGTTCGAACAGTTGATAAAAATCCTTCAGTTGTCATTGGAAAAGCTGTTTGAGAAAGAAAACAAAAATCACTTTTTAATGAAAACTAATTTCAACAAACTTTCTTCGATCTTCGTCGTTGTCAATGAAACAGTCGATAATTCACCTGAAATGAAGAAGACAATTTCACCCATTCTTTTCTCATATTTTCTCCAATTTCAACCAACTTTCTGCAACTTGATTTGTTGTTCCAATTACCGAAGATTTATCTTTAACAAAGAATAAAAACGTCACTTCTCCTCCTTCATTTTTCCACTTACTACACGAAGTTTTTTCAAAATTAAACTTTTGAATTCTCTTATTTCCATTATCAATAACAAAAAGATTTCCGTCAATGTCAAAACTCAGAGCACATGGAGCGGATAATTGATGAGATTGTGAACCTCCTCCATCACATCCAACTAAACATCGAAAACCATTCGCATCTTCTCCCATTATACGACCACTTCCTTGTTCCAGAATGAAAAGATATTTTTGTGCATCGAGAACAATTCCAATTGGAAGACTAAGTGTAATTGTGAAATTTGAAGATCCTTGTCCCACTCTCGTTTTTCCATTTAACTGTCCAACTTCAAATTGTTGAATACGATTATTTCGATAATCTGCCACATATAGATCGAAATTCACATCAACAAATATTCCAACAGGAGAAGAAAGTTCATTAAGAGCAGAACCTTCAGTGCCATTTCCAGCAACAATTTTTGGTGTCAAATCAGCATCATTCAACCATCTCTTGATCACTTTGTGTTGATTGTACATTGAACAATATAACGAATTATTTTGATCGACAAACAAACCATAACATTGAGAATCGACACTCATGACAGTGATCAAACTTTCATTTCGTTGAATCCATTGATTAACTTGATTGTTCGACTGACCATTATCAATAAAAATATCACCAACATTTGTCACAAATATCGAATATGAATAGGTAAAATTCCCCGAAATTGTTTTTGTTGGATTTGAACTTTGATTGGTCCAGATTAGAATTCGTTTTGTATCGATATTGAATGAATAGATTGTGTTGTTTGTATTGACAAAAAGAGCATAGGGAAATGATCCAATAATGTTTTGATCAGCAAAAGTAATTGCAGATTTATTCCAACTTGCATTTGAACAAAATTTCGGTTGATTAAACGAAAGAGTTGAAATTCTTTGGATAAAAATCCAAAGAAGACAAAACGAGATATTCATTTGAATCAGAGAAATCAAAATGTGAATAAAATACAAATGAAAATAAACGTGAGAAAATTGAAAACAAAAAAAATCACTAAATTCTTCTCATTTGTTTTATCTAAATGAGAATATTTGATTTAAAAGAAAAAGGTTTTCTCACGTCTATTTGATATAAAAATGATGATTTCGATATTTTCTCAAACTAAAACATTCAAAGACAAATGACACGTCTCTTTTTATTCAAATATGAAAAAGTAACAAAAATTTATCGTTTTCTTTGATTTTTCAATGAGAAATTGAATTGAAAATTATTCTAAAAAGATTTTCTTCATTTGTACGTGATGATTTGAAGCAATGACAATGAAACGAAATTTGATCTAGCAAATAAAATCAACAGAATTTGCTTTGTCATGATTTTGAAATGAGAAAATCTCGTTTTACACAAATAAATCAAATCAACAAGTTCACATTTCTTTAAATAAAGAAATAAAATTGTTTAGCGATTAATTTCGATTAAATCTTTGAGAATTTAAAATGATGAAAAAAAAATCAAAATCAAATTCATTAAATTCACAATTCTTCTTTTTTTTCTGAAATTTTATCCGATTTTTATTTCCGAATTATTTTGTTTGGAAAAGAAATGACTTTTAGAGAAAATTTCATTATTGTTCGAAATGTTTCATCAACATTGTCAAAGGAAAATCTTCATAATGAAAAGATCGACTTAATTATCTCAATTCTCATCTTGGTTGAAATCATTTACAACGATAAAACTTAAATTAATGAACTTTTCAATAGAATCAGTTTGCCACGGAGAAAATATTCTATTATTAACACCTAAGATTACATCCAACTACTTCCTATCGTCGTTTGTAACGATGACATTGCCATTGATGATGGAAATTACTTGAGAATTCAATTCAATGTCGTAGGAAATCAAAGATTTAAATAGAATTTGAGAAGTTTCTACGAAAGAAAATAATACAAATTTGATTACAATTTGAGATCGAATGGAGAAATATAAAGACAATCATCAATTTGCATTTCACATTGCTTGGTTTTACTTCAGCAAATGTCTCTGAACAATTTATTGTTTTTGAGCAAATATCAATGAATAGATTGAGGAAAAAGATCAATAAGGAGATTATCCACTCATGTTGGAAGAGAAAATTTCAAAAATGTCATTGAAGATGAACGATAAACTATGAATAGAAAATTCACATAAAATAGAAAGAGAATCTCAAATGAGAAAACAAAGAAAGATCAGAAACAAATGAACTTTGTGCATTTCGAAACAAAATTTGAGAGAAGTAACATAATTTCCGAGATTATTTTCATGAAAAACTTATTCAATTTGCATAAATTTATGCGCCCAGAAGATGTTTGTATTGTGTTTGAGATGTTTGAAAAGATCTTTCTGGACAAAACAACATGTAAGCCGAAAGAAAATACGTTTGCCTTCATTTCTATGAAATCTTCAATTGAATTCTCGTGATATCCGAAAGTGATTTCAAAAAATTTTTATGCGAATACACAAGTTTTGTTGACCTAATTATTCAACACGAATATGAAGATCTTATCAAACCAATCATGTTGAAGGTGAGAGTATGGATCTATCAACTACCAGAATCTATTCATTCTCATAAGATAAAATTGTATTCTATAATTCTGCATTGCCATCTATTCAGGATAGCAGTCTTGATTTGACATTTTATGTTCCATACATATTATGTACAATAGAGAAGCTATGAGAAAATTTTGTAGAAATGAAAATGAAAAGCACAAGCACTATCATCTTTTCCATCCTGCTCTTTTTCACATTCAGATATTATCGATAATGGCTAGTACAAGTACTCTCAGTTTTCTCTGCCACTGTTAAATCTACTGCCTTTTCATAATATAGATAAAAGAAGATATCAGAAACTAAGCACAGTTCTCTCCTTACGATGAATTCTTTGTGGATGCTCATCAGTATGTCTGAACTGAGCTCTTAATTTTAGAAAAAGACTGCTCAATATTGAGCTGAGAAAAGCACAAGCTACTGTAGTATAATGGTAGTATCACGGTTTGTCGGACCGAAGATCAGGGTTCGATTCCCTGCAGTAGCGAGATATCTTTTTTTCATTTCATCGTTCACTCATT